ATAATGGAGGCCAGCCTGGAGCAAAGAAGGTCCCAGAAGGAGAATATCAATGAGGAGCTGTTGGAATAATCCAGTTCAGGCTTAAACTGTGAACCACCAGCCTAATATGGAAGTTACCTGGTCCAGATCTGCTTCATTAGTTTAATGTGTGAGCATTTTTGGCAGCTGCTGTAGCACCATCAACCGAGTGAGTTGCCATCCTTTGCTAGCAGAATCTCAGAATCAGTTTACAGAGGCTGCTGGCAACCTTATGTTTCACATTCAGTTCTAATGTGAGATTAGCAGTTCGTTACAGAAGTGTCCGGGGAGGAAACCCATTTGGCCGCTATCATTCCTTCATTTTCTTACCCTCATATTCAACAAGAATCTATAATGGAAGAAAGAGATCCACACTCAGAGTCACTAGGCTGCTACATTCAAGTCCTGGTTCTGTTCATTATCATCTGTGAGCCCTTGATCTCAGCTTCTTTCTCTGCAATATTGGATCTGTGTTGCTGCTACATTCAAGTCCTGGTTCTGTTCATTATCATCTATGAGCCCTTGATCTCAGCTTCTTTCTCTGCAATATTGGATCTGTGTTGCTTTCCTCTTCCTGGCTAGGGGTAGTGTAAAGAAGTGGCCAGGAATATGCACCTGGATTCTGAGAGATTAGACTTTAAATTCCAACCTCTTATTCTTCTGGATTGACGGTAGTTAGGTTATATATAGACTCCAGAGTTAGACTGACTTAGATTTTAGTCCTGTCTCTGTCACTTGCTAGCTGTATGACTGGAGCAAGTTATTTAACCTTCCTAGGTCTCGGTTTCATCTGTAAAATGGGGATACAAATACTACCTACTGCATAGCGTTGTTAATGAGGATTGAGATAACATGTCAAACACTTAACTCAGGGCCCAGCACAGAGTAGGTGCTTGATGAATGTTAGCTTTAGTAGTAATCATATTAACCATGATTATTAATGTTATTGTTTTTATAGAAGGTATATTTATTTGGTTGATTTTCCCTACTTTCTTACTCTGACATCTATTTTTCTTGCTTTCCATTGCTTCATCAGGAAACTTTGAAATAATACATTGTTCTATCACAGAGCTGCAAAGTATAACATGACAGAAAGTGCCTGCAGGAAAAGGGTCAGTCGAAAGTCAGTGGCTCATTATAAAATCTTACCTGACTTGTGTTTTCGCCTACCTATCTCCACAGTAAACAGGAACAGAGCAGCATATTTATTCCCTTTTGCACAGCCTTCAACAGTGCTAAGTAAGACCCCTCCAATTCACTTGCCGAAAAATACAATAACAGTATCTCTGGAAAAGTGGTACCTAATTTGGTTCTTCTTTCTCTCCAGCTTAAACCCCTCTGACCTTAACTTCAGTCATTTCTTCTTATTCCATTTTCCGTGAATGTGGAAAATTTTCTTCTGATTATGAAGGCAGGATGAGATCAAGATTTTCTCAAGAGAACCTTTTGTGTACTTAAAGCCAGAATCCAGTTAGTCTCCTCTTCTCTTCTCCAGGCTAAGCAGTCTTGGTTTCTTTTACCTCACTCTTAAAACCTATTTTCCGTTTCTTGGATCACATTGGTCATGCTTCTTTTCTTTCTTTTTGGTTTTTCTACTTCTTGGCAGTGACCCAGACTGCTTTGTCTGCTAATAAGAGTCCAACTAAAACAGTTTAAGAGAAGAATAACTTCAGGTGTTTTCATTCATTTATTAACATTTATTGGGTGTTTGTCCCGTGCCGGGCACTTTGCTAGATGTAAGGTATCCAGAGAGAAATCAGACATAGTCTTCACTATTCCCAGCCCACAGTCCAAGAGAGGTGTACAATCACATGTAACATAAGTGTGGAGAGCTGGAAATTGTTGAGGGCAATTAAGTAGAAACAGATCATCCATTTTGCCTGAACTATAGGTCAGGATTTCTGCAGAGGAGAGGTAGGACATAATGCAGGAGGGGCATGGTTGAGGAGGCCCTGAGTGACAGCCCAGGAGTTGGGTTATTCCAATGGTGGTGGACACCCATTAGAAGTGTTGGAGCAAGGAGATGACAGGCTCAAATTGGCTTTTCAGACCAAGGACAGAGATACTATAAGTTTTAGTCTTCTCTGTCCTTCAGGGATGTTTTCATATTACTTGAAAGTAGTATGATGGATTCCTTGTTTGTAAACAGGCTTTTTGCTCTAAAACTTCTATAGAAAAACTAGTTCTTGAACTCTGGAAAAATTTCATTCTGTATACAGGCAGGAAGTTCAGAAGAAATGAGAGGGAATTGGGTGCCCAGCCTATATAAGACCCAGCGGCAGACTGCTATATGTAGATGTGTTCCGGCCACATTCATCCTTTCCCAGCCCTGTCCCAGGAAAAGGTCCAGGAAGGAAGAGAGGGCTCCAGGGCTCATTGGGGTATTTAGTAAGCAATTTCAGGCAGAGTGAGAGTCAGAAATTCTTTCTGAGGAGGATAAGGGGCCCAGAGGAATTTGAAATGATGCCAGAAGAAATCAGGGCCAACCAGGCACTTAGAATCCTACGTCATGAATCTGAAAACCTCCCAATTCTATCTCTCTGCCTTTGTACTTTGTTATCAGTTTATTCCTTCTGGCTGCCTTGTTGTGGTTTACAGAGTACTTTTGAGGGCCACAGATGATCTGGGGAAGCCATATCTCAAGCTAGAGTCATAATTGCTATTTATTGAGTGCCTACTCTGTGCTAGCAATTGTGCCATGAACTTAAAATACATCAGCTCATTTAATTCTTACAACAACCTGCAGCATAGGTGTTCTTGCCCCCATTTTATAGATGATGACAGTGAAGCAGAGACATTAAGTATTGTGGCCAAGGCCACTTCATTAGTAAATAGGAAACCCAGAGTTGAATCTAGGCCCCCATGGCTTAGAAGCCCATGCACTTTCTACCTCCCCAGCCCTTGAGTAGTTCCAAACAACAGAATAACACAAAATCCATAAAGGGGAATTCTGTTTTTATTATAGGCCTGCTAGAGATGGAAGTGAACAGAGATGCATTTGTGTCCATATGTGAGCTGGGGGGAGGGGAGGAATGAAGTTAGTGAGGAGGAGAAATAAGCAGGGTTGCAAACTATGGCCTATATGCCATATCTGGCTTACCACCTGTTTTGTATGGACTGCAAGTGAAAAATACTTCTTACATTTCTAAATGGTCGGGAAAAATTCAAGAGATTATTTGTGACAGGAAAATTATATAAAATCCAAATTCCAGGGGCACCTGGTAGCTCCGTTGGTTAAGCACCCAACTCTTGATTTTGGCTCAGGTCATGATCTCAGGGTTGTGGGATCAAGCCCCATGGTTGGGCTCTGCGCTCAGTGCAGAGTCTGCTTGTCCCTCTCCTTCTGCTCCTCCCCCACTCACACTCTATCTTCCAAAGCAAATAAAATCTTTAAAAATAAAAAATAAATTAATTAATAAAATCCAAATTTTAGCATCCATAAGTGAGGCTTTATGAAAAAAATAGCTGCTACATTTATTCCTTTACTTGTTGTCTATGGCTGCTTTCACTCTACAAAGGCAAAATTAAGTAGTCACGACAGAGGTCATGTGACATAGCCTAAAATATTTATTATCAGGCTTTTTGTAGGAAAGAAATATTTTATGGATGAAGTAATTTAGTCAGATCTTTACTAGAGCCCTTTTTGAGCCAGATATTAGGTTAGATATTAGAAATAAAACGATGAAAAAGATCCGTCCCTGCCTTTGAGGAGTTTATGGCCTAGTGGGCAAGCCACATATATATGTGAATCGCCAGCTCTGTAACATGCCATGGATGTGATGAAATGCTGGATGAGGTAGAAAAGAGCTAAGGACTGCTGTAATCTTTGGGGCCACTTTCAGTAATTCGTGAGGGGCCCTGAAGATGAATAGGTGTTATTCTCAAGAAACCACATGCCGGGCTGAGGGACAGCTTGATCGTGTGCATGTTTGGAATGACAAGGTTAGAGGAGAAAGAGACTGTGGAAATGATTTAGATGATCTGTGGCTAGGCAGCTGGCAGGGCAATAGAATTCAATAAAGAAGAAGGGAAGGGATGAAGGATAGGGGTTGGACAAGTTGAGTTTAGGATACATGATTTGAGGTCATGGTGTGAAACATATCTGGCTTCTAGTTGGAAAACCATTTTAGAAATGTTAGCACAAGGCCCCAGAACTCAGATTAAAAAAAAAAAGATTTTATTCATTCATTTGAGAGAGATAGAGCAGGAGCAGGAGAGGACAAGCGGGGAGCCTGACGCAGGGCTCCATCCCAGGACTCCAAGATCATGACCTGGCCTGAGCCAAAGTCAGACACTTAACTCACTGAGTCACCCAGGCACCCCAGAATTCAGATTTAAACTGCATGTTCAGAGCTTTTCCACTGGAGAAAGGGGAAGCAGGTACTCATTTGACATATGGCAGCTAGAGTCTCAAGATTGGAAATTGCAGTGGACATATAGAAAATGAAGTCATCACATGGTAAGCTAGCGATAATTATGCATTGTTCATGTTTATACTGCCTGTTGCTCTTAGCATCTTCTTTATATTTCTGGCTCTGTGACCTCCTGTCTGTGAGACTGGGACCTAGGCACCAAGAGATGGAGTCAGAGCTCATTCATCTCTAAAAATGTGGATGCCAGAGAGGTGTCAGCTTTTACCTTCTGCAGAACACACCTCAGTGAACAGAGCTGTCCAGATCTGTCCTCCAGGTCCAGGTCTGGAATCCCACAGTGGAAACAGAATCTGAAAACTTTTACTCAGACTCTCATTAAATCTTCACATGCTTAGTGTTGGCATTTTCAAATGATCAAATGCCTTATTTTAAAGACAGGAAATCTGTGACGGTCTTGTGTATATCTACTTACCAGTGTGATGTATAGGTTTGAAGGACACATAGGGTGATCTTTATCTTCTCTGATCATTTTAAAGAAGTCAGATTTTTATATCTTTTCTTTTTCTGCTCTTTAAGGATTTTCATGCCAGATGAAGCAAAAGCCAGCGGGGAAGTGAAGAATGCCTGCTACCTCCAGAGACTATTGAAACACTTCCTGTAGCTGGAAGACGGCAGCCCTCTGGCAGGAGCATTACTTCATTATTTCATTTCAGTTTACAGAGGATTTAGTTCTCAGAAGCTGGGCAAGGTAAGGCTGGATACACATTTTGCTTAACCTTTTAGATTGCTTTGAGTTGGATGTGGGTGGGAGATTTTGGTGTTCAGTGGGCAGCTAGGATTAGCTGGGCTGCCTGGCATGCCTAAGACAGTCACTTAGTAGGGATGAGCACATTTCTACCAGAATACAATAGCAGAGAAGGTCATAAGGAAAACCGTGTAGTAAGTAAAACATACTTATTTACTTTTAATTATAAAAGTAAAACAACCGTGCCATAAATAACAATATCAAATACAAGGTATCAAAAGTATAATTCTGTACCCACCCAACTTCCATCTCCCAGAGTAACCATTGTTAATAATAGCTTGAGATGTATCTTTCTAGTTTTTTCTTTTACTAACTTGTAGTATTTGTGACATACATGATGCTATTGTGAAGTGTTCTTGAATGCCTGAGCTCCATCCTGCCTGGCAGGTTAGAAAAAATGCCTTAATTGTAGATTGAGTCAGATGAAGGTTGGGCAAGGATGGTTTGAGCCTGATCTGTGAGCTTTTATAGTCCTTTGCAACTGTGTATCACCCTTCTTCCTCTGAAGCTTCCCAGTGACACACCGGCTTCCCTTCGCCCCATTCCCAACCAGTTCCCCTTCCTGAATTCTCCCCTTCTTTGATGGTACCTCTGCTCTATGGTTACCTGACTTTAGTTCAGAAACATATATTGCAGTCCCCCTCTGTGCTGGCTCCCTGCTGGGTAGGGGGGACACCCAGAGAAAATAGGCCCCCTTTCTTCCTTCAAGGAGGATAGGCATCTCTGACTCTTCACCATCTCTAGCTGCTTGGCAGAACTAGAACCAGTTCTGCCTCCAACTTCATCCCCTCACCTCTTTCTCTTCCTTCCATCCCTGCCTCAGCCACAGGCCTTCCTTGCTTTCTTGCTGGCTGCGGCAGCCTCTCTCTGCTCTCCCAGTCCCCGGCCAGCCTCCACTTGGTTCTGCACATTACGGCCAGTTTCATGGCCCAGTCTCTTCTCACTGGCTAGAACAGTGGTTCACAAGTGGTAAAAGTGGGCTCTGCAGATGTTGGGGGTCCTTGAAACCTTTACAGGGTATCTATCAGGTCAAAACTGTTTTCATAATAGCACTAAGATGTTATTTGTTGTTGCAGAGTGGCAGTGGGTAGAAGTGCTGGTGCTTTAGCATGAATCCAGGCAGTGGCCCGGAACTGTCCTAGCAGTCATTGTATTCCTCATTGCTACACTTTCAGTTTTCTTAAAAATGCCATTTTCACTTAAGAATGTCCGATGAAGCAGTAAAGATTGCTAATTTTAGTGAATCTCAACCCTTGGGAACACATCTTTTTAATATTCTGTGTGACAGAGTGGAAATACTCGTAAAGCACTTATGTGCATACCAGAGTACAGTGGTTGTCTCAACAAAAAGCATTTGTGGGATTGTTTGAATTACAAGCTGAACCAGCCACTCTTCATTTTCCCTAGAAAGAATGACTGGGGCTCAGTAAGGCTGCAGAGTATCTAGGAACCAGATGCCAGAGGGCCTTGTGGCCACATTTATAAGCCTCAGTGATGTGATTTCAGCCTGCCCTTTTCAGCTTTTTATCCTGTCCTGCTCAAACAAACACAATCCTTCACTCTTGCTTGCTCTTTCTGAAGCAAACACTTCCTTTACCCAGGCTCCATCCTTCCTCTGATCATTCCTCCCCCCAGGAGATGCCATGTCAGTTCTAAGGCTACTGTGATCCCAGAGTCAGAACAGTGGAAGAAGATGGACCTGACTCCAGACCTTTTCCCTCTGGAAATCTTGCTATCCCAGCCCTGTTTGAGGCCTGCTGTGACTTGGCACCCTGCCAGCACCCTGGTGGGTCTCCGACTGCCACTTTCACTGCACTTGAGTGAGATACTGTGGTCTGCCTAATGAGAGCCGGCCTCCTACACACAGGACTCCTGGGTAAAACCTGTGAAATGGCCTAGCCCCTTGGAATCATGCTCACCGACTGTCCTTTGATTGAGCTGATGACACAGGTGGCTCCTTTCACCCATCATGCCTTAAATTGACTAGCTTCTGTTTAAGTGTACTTTTTCCTTGACCTTGTCCCCTACGTAGTAATGATACCATTAGAAACGAAATCGACCAACTAATAGATCAGAGAAAAGAAGAATATAGCCTTGTACCTGATACCAGAACTACCATGAAATAATGTGGTTGGACTGGTTTGTAGCTCATCCTCCGTAATATGCGAAGACACAAAATACACAGTTATCTCCAAGTAAAACAAACTTCTGATAAATCAGATTTCAGAATAATACAGTAATGATAATGTGATGATAATGCCTTTGTATTGTGTAAGCTAGAGCAGCTTTGCCCAGGCTTTTTGACATCATAGCACACACAGAAAATGATACTTACTGTTCAGCGTGGTGATGGGATCAGTATCTCATTCACAGCACATCAGTAGGGAAGCTCTGTGGTAAGGTTTCTAAATAAAAGCATTCTTGTTGGTGCCTGGCTCACTCTGACAGGCTATCCCTCCTGCCTCTCAGCATGAATGCTTAAATATAATATTATTAATATTTAATATATGAAATATATAATATTAAATATACTGCTAATAACCTCATAGTTAAAAACTTGAATTTTAAGCCAGTTTGTCTAGATTTAAATCCTGGCTCTGCCACTTACTAGCTATGTGGCCATGGGGAAATTAATCACTTAATCTCTTTGTACTTCAGTTTCTTCACCTGTAAAATGTAGGATAATTATACTTCTCTCATAGAGTTGTAAAGATTAAAGAAGTTAGGCTATGTAAAATGTAGTGTTTTGCAAGATGCTTGGGACATTGCCTGGCAGCTGGTGGCCCCATCTAAGTGTGTGTGCTGTAGCTAGTAGCAGTGTGCACCATGGCTGCCAGTAGTACTCCTTCAGATAGTACTACTGATGAGCTCTTTCTTCCCAGGCCCCTCGTCATTGCCTCCTCCTCAGCCTCATGTTTCTCAGTCTTGGTTCTTCCTTAAGAGTGTCTACCCCCTTCCTTTCACTTCGTCAGGTTTCCATTGTTTGGGGGCCTCCACCAGCTGGCGACTAGGAAGCGACAGGATGGACCACTGTACTTATCAGCTTGCTCTTACCACTCTCCCTTCTCTGGAAAGCCCTTGTGACTGAAGGAACTAACTCTTATAGGTTGGGAGGAGGAGTGAACCATAGACTTTGAAAAGAACTCTCGAGTACTCAGGAGGAGTGAATTGCATTTGCTGAGCTGAGTTAGCCAGCAAAGACATGTTCTTATGGGGAAAATGATCATCTTCGGTATCACACACCAGATGCAGGAGCTGGTCAGTTCTCCATAGGCTCCACCAAAACATGGAGAACAGATCTGCTGATCTGGTGGGCAGTGTGGCTCATACAACTTCTTGGAGAAATGACAGTTCTTTCAGAGGTATGGGCCTTAGGGTCCCCTGTGGGGAGGCCAACAGATGAAGAAGACTTGCCTGTTGGGAATATCTGTCCTACCAGTTGAGATGCCTCAGCCCCTCCTCAGCTGCTCTGGGAGTTCTCTCTGATTCACACTGGCCAGGCTGCCTCTCTTTAGGCTTAGCACATGCTCTGTCTCTGTCTCTCTCCCCAGGCCCCACCCTGGCCAGTTCCCACTCATCCTTCAGATGTCAGCTTAGCTGTCCCTTCCTCTCATTACCAAACTGGGTTTGATATCTACTTTCACTCCACGGCACCTGGTACTTCCCTGTCACATGGCACTTGTCCCACTCTATTGAAGTTGTTTTATATGTCAGTGGATTTAAATTCCTAAGAGCAGGGATGCTTGGGTAGCTCAGCGGTTGAGCATCTGCCTTCAGCTCAGGGCATGATCCCGGGTCTGGGGATTGAGTCCCATATCGGGCTCCCCTTGGGGAGCCTGCTTTTCCCTCTACCTACGTCTCTGCTTCTCTCTGTGTGTCTTTCATGAATAAATAAATAAAATCTTTTAAAAAAACTCCTGAAGGCAGAGACTATGTCTTCTATTCTCACTGTCTAGCACGGGACAGTCGGTAGGTGCCCAATAAATACAGTATTTGTTGAGTGAGTAAGTCATCGGTGCTTTCACACCATGTCTTCTTTGACCCTCACCACAGCTTAGTGGTGTAGGGAGTCCAGGCCTTACTCTGACCTCTTGCGGTATATGAAGAAACTGATACTTAAGAGAAGCTATCACAGACAGTAGACACAGTGGTGGGGAGCCAGGATTTAAACTACTATCTTACAGGCTCAAATGCTCATTACATAATTTTGGCTTTTACAAAGTTTTTCTTTCTTTCTTTCTTTTTTTTTTTTTAAGATTTTACTTATTTATTCTTGAGAGACACAGAGAGAGAGGTAGAGAGACACAGGCAGAGGGAAAAGTAGGCTCCATTCAGGGAGCCTGACATAGGACTCGACCCCAGAACCCCAGGATCATGACAAGCCAAAGGCAGACGCTCAACCACTGAGCCACCCAGGTGCCCCAAAGTTTTTCCTTTTAAAAAAATATCATTAAAAAAAATTAAAATAGTGTTTGTTGTTTTTCAATATCATAAAAATAACATCTTCAAAGCACTAGTATTCCTGAAACATTTTTTCCTCACTAACTGTTGAGATTCTGTACAGAGAAATCTAGATACATTTTTATTTTAAAACATTTTATTTGAGAGAGAGCACAGGTGAGACAAGGGACAGAGGGAGAGGGAGAAGCAGACTCCCTGCTGAGCAGGGACCACCCTCCAACACGGGGCTTGATTCCAGGACCTTGGGATCATGACCTTAGCCAAAGGCAGATGCTAAACCAAATGAGCCATCCAGGCATCCCTAGATATGATTTTAAATACTGTATAATTAGATTCTAAATTCCAGTGTATGTTGGAGAAAAATTATTGTGTGTTTTACTGAAAATAAAACTTGGCTAAAACCGTAATAGCATTAAAAAGTAACACATTTCCTTGTATAAAATTTGGAAAATGCTGGAAAATATAAAGCAGAAAATAAAAATCACCCCATCACACAGAGAAAACTACTGTAGATTAGAAATGTCCTGGACTTGAAAGGCAGCATTGAGCTTGAATCCCACTGAAACCACTAACAAGATGTTTGGTGTTTGGTAGATTGTTTAACCTCTGAGCCTCAGTTTCCTCACCTGAAGTATAACAAAATATTTACCATATGGGATTATTATAAGAATTAGAATTATTGTAATGTATGTAAAATACCTAGCGTGGTTCCTGGCATATATTAGGTACTCTTTCAAATTGTAGTAGTATTAACATTTTTGTGTATTTCTGTTTAGTATGTCTACATACCTGTGCATACAAGTATTTTTTTAAGATGTATTCATTTATTTTAGAGAGAGAGGGAGAGTGAGTGAGTAGGGTGGGGAGGGGCAGAGGGAGAGAGAGAGAAGCCCCAGCAAACTCCCAGCCGAGTGTGGAGTCCCATGCAGGGCTCGATCCCACAACCCTAAGATCATGACCTGAGTCAAAATCAAGAGTCAGATACTTAACCGACTGGGCCACTCAGGTGCCCCATACACCTATGTTTTTCCTGCATATTTATATCAAGTATGTCGTTGGGTCCTCACAGGGTTGCTGTAAAGGGCAGATATTATTTTAAAGTCTGTTCTGTAGATTAGGAGGCTGAGACTCTAAGAGGCAGAGTAACTTGGCATAGCCTTGGTAATATCTGAACAAGGATTTTCACTTTGGTCTCCTAATGCCAAGCTCACATCATCCCCTGTCAGCAGTGTGCTACCTCTCCAGCTCCACCTCCAACAGTACATGCATGGTAGACCACTGAGCCCTGACCATGGGGAAGGTAAGGGCAGGAAGCCATGAAAGTACTGGGAGCCTTCACACCAGCTGGGATCTATCTGAAACTTAAAAGAAGTGCTCATTTCCTCCTCTGAAATAACAAACACATTGCCTGATCCTATAGCAGAGACCAGGCTTCTGGCTAGAATATCAAGAACCTTCTAGGCCATAGGGCTTTTTCTTAGGAGGAGTTTGTCAGAGAACTCATAGAACTAAATAGCCTCACTCTGCACTCTGTAGGGCAGAGGTGTACCCACGTTTCCTTCAGCAAGTGCACTTGTTACTTAAAGGGCCTGGGTGACTTGCACTGCACCTAACACTAAGTATATGCATCCTTTCATATCATTTCATTTCAGTGCAAGTTTTCTGATGGTTGGCGTGTATCTGACACTGTGCCGTGGCTTTTAGGAGAGGCAGGGATGAACAGGCAACAGTCCTGGCCTTTAGGAACATTGAAGAATGGGAGTTCAGGGATCCCTGGGTGGCACAGCGGTTTGGCGCCTGCCTTTGGCCCAGGACGCGATCCTGGCGACCCGGGATCGAATCCCACGTCGGGCTCCCGATGCATGGAGCCTGCTTCTCCCTCTGCCTGTGTCTCTGCCTCTCTCTCTCTCTCTGTGACTATCATAAAAAAAAAAAAAAAAAAAGAATGGGAGTTTATGGGCAAAGCCCATCAGTGCTTTAATAGAACTTCTAGCAGGGTGTTTGGGGGCAGAGGAGGAGCACCATTAGTTCTGTGCAGTAAAGCCATCTATTTGCATAGTACCTAACTGATTTCCAAAGTGTTGGTACAAACTGAACTCATTCAAAGGGGGTGGAGAGTTTGGGGGTGGGGGGGAGCAGAGACTTTTGAGCTGGGTTTTTGTGGCTGAGAATAAGTCTCGGGCCAAGGGAAGGAGGTGAGCCAAGGACCAGTGTGATTGTGGAGCCTTACGCCCCAAGGAAGCTTTCATCAAATGTTTGCATGCTTAATGAATTAAGGTCCCACAGACCCTGCCAGTGGACTGTCTGTGATAGAATAGAGATTATGGACAGGCTTCAGATGGGGAACCTGTCAACCCCTCAGTAGGATGATGACACCTCTCCCTCTCTTCTCCCATGATGTAAACAGGGAAGCTAAGCATGTTGTTGGGTTTTTTTTTTTTTTTCATTTCACTGCCTTCCTACATTTTTTTCTTTCTAGTTTCAAAAACAACTCTCCTTCAACAAGTTCTGTTTCCAAGGAAAGTCTTAACCATTTGTCCCTTCTGGCGTACCCTCTTCCATTGAAATCCATGCAGAATAGACCAGGTACTCTGTCTTTTTGTGTGTGAAGCCATAAAATCTAATATTGAGTATGTGGCAGTGCTCAGAGGTATGATTCTTCCACAAGAGGCTCCCTCAGCCCTGCTGTGGTAAAAGCCAAGTATAAATTGCCGCTAACAGGGTTTTCTAGCCAGAGTCGTAAGTATGTCTGAGCATCCCCTGTGAATTATAATGCTGCTAGCTCTCTTGCTGCTCCTCTGCATTGCCTGCCTTTTGGCTGTTTTGCTTGTCCTTAGGCCTTCCATCCAAGTACAGGCAGAGGAAGGAGAAAGAGAAACAAATCCAGAATCGGTCCACTCTGTACTTACCTCGCAGCACTGATAAGAAAACAGATGGACTGGCACTGGACTGCACGCAAGGGCAGGGCGAGAGGGACAACAGCTCCTCCTCCTCAGCCTGCTTGTCGCAATGGCCAGTGCCCCTCCCTGTGCTCCGGAAGAGCCCCCAGGGTTTCATTTCTGTAGAATTTCTTACCGTGTTAGGCAGCTTTTTCCCTTTAACTTAGCACGGTGATGATGGATATTGGGTGCTAATATTTAAGTTGGATCCTCTGAATTCATAGTGTGTTGCAGTCCCCAGATAGATCTTGTGCTTATACTGTTGGCCAGAGTAGTATTTTGAGATCCTCTGTGGATTCCTTTTGTCCATGTGTTTATCTGTTCTCTAAAGTATAATTGAAAACCTGCTGGCATCAGATCCAAAAATGGGAGGAAGAATGCACCTATACTGAGCTTTCAGACACTTGGCCTAACCATGCTTTCCGGATTATGGTTGAATGTACCATTGTCATGTGTGCTTTCTCCTGATGGCTGTTGTGTACTCGTTTCTGAGAACGATGTATAGATGTGCATTGGCCCTAATCAATCTTCTCCAGCCGACTTGCCATTTCTCTGACCGTATTCAGCCAGGGTCCTCTGAGAAGAAAGTGGGCCTTTCCCCCCAATGGGCAAAGAGCCAACTTCCATTATAAAATCTCTTAGAAAAAAAAAATCCAACAAGCCAGAGCCTGTGTTTATTGAAGGTTGGTCTAAAAGTCTCTTACACTGAATGCTCCACCAGCACCCGAGTGCCTCTATTTTAGAAGGATGTAAAGGTTTAATCACCCTGGTGGGGATTTAGACCCAGAGACTTCAGAGAAATCTTATTATTTCTAACTGCAGGCAAAGAGTATTAAGGCTCCACTCTGGATCAGGGGCATGACATGTTCTATAAGTAATTTATCTTTAACAGGGGAAGGCCCTTACTAGAGTGTCTTAGAAACAGTGCCATGATTGGGCCCTGGTTCCCTGTTCCTCCTTTCTCTTCCCCCCTCTCAGCCTCCTACTTATTCTTTCCATCCCTACCCTTTCCTGCCTGGTGTGGCCAGTGTTGAAATGTCTGCCTCACAAATGCTCCCTTTAACATGGGGAGCCTCCCTTTAACCTGCTGGCCAGTGAGAGATAATAATATTTTTGCAATGAATGACCTCACCCAGCAGCCTGGTGTAGACTCATCAACTGCAGACTTTTCAGACTTCTAAACAGACCCTGACCACATCCTCTCAAATTAGGAGCTGAGGAGTAGGGGAGAGTATGCTTGGGGTCCCACAGGTACTCTGGTCTGTGCTCCTAAACATAAAGTAATTTAGGCAATCCTCAGAGCCGCTCTCTGTCCTATTGTACCTCCAGGGGGCAACTCCACTGAGGCCTATGGATCCCTGTGCACATCCACTCGGGTGTCACTGAGCCTATGATTTCATTTGCATGGGCCCCTCCCAAGCCACACCCTTGTAGCTCCCTGGATCCTGCCTTTCTGGTGCTGAGGCAGGAGGACGTCACAGGTGGGATGCTGCTTATGGATTCATTGTTTTTGTTGCAAACTGCAGTTTGACTAGTGGCAGATCTGAATCCATGTGCTAATGAGCTTGGTTAGAGCAGGCTCTGCTATCCTCTTTTAATCTAGCCTGTCTATCTGAGTTCCTTTCCACAGTTAATGATCTCCAATAATGGCTTTGCCTTTAGTTTTGCCTCCTGGGTCAAACAAATCAATAGTCCTCATAGATATTTAAAAACCATCAGTGTAAAGCTCTTGGTTCCCCCCTCCCCTCCCCTTTTTTTCCCTTCTGGGTGAACTTATGGCTTGATCAGTATAGTGATATTTCCCTTACATCTCTTTTCCCCCAGAGATGGGCAGCAGTGAACCCCTTCCCATTGCAGAGGGTGACAAGAGGAAAAAGAAGAAGCGGAAGGCCCGGGCCACTGACTCCTTACCAGGGAAGTTTGAAGGTTGGTCACACGACTTCTCAGATCTGGGCCTGTGGCTCCCCGGGCATGAGAGGAGCATCTTGGTAGCCCATAGGTGTAGATCAGAGCATGCGTCATCTGAGTCAGCTCGTCCTTATCTGTGTGACAGGGATGAATGATGGGATGAGAGAGCTCTTGGATGGTGCACTCTGAATAGTTTCAGCGTTCACTGTAGGATAGAAAGACCAATCTGTCAGACTTGTGTATGGAGAGAGATTGGTTGATACATTTTAGCCCTTTTCTGATACGATCTTTCCCCCCCCACCATTCCTGGAGTCACTGCTGAGAGGTAGAACAGCCATGTAAGAGGATGAGAGAACACCAAGGGCCACAACTCCAAATGAAAGTTAAATCTTCTATAAACAGAGGATTTGACTCCTAGACATCACAGCTACTTGTGCTGTATGAGTTTGAGTCGATTTTAAGAGTGCATGCTGTGTTCAGGGGACACGATGTTGGATCGTCAAAGATTCTGAACACTGTGTGAGGCACAGGCTCAGTGCTGGTCCTGTCATCACTGAGTATGTGATGATGAAGTGAATCATCGAACACTCCTTTTTTTTTTTTAATTTTATTTATTTATTTATGATAGTCACACACACACAGAGAGAGAGAGAGAGAGAGAGAGAGAGAGAGAGAGAGAGGCAGAGAGAGAAACAGGCTCCGTGCACTGGGAGCCCGACGTGGGATTCGATCCCGGGTCTCCAGGATCGCGCCCTGGGCCAAAGGCAGGCGCCAAACCACTGCGCCACCCAGGGATCCCTCATCGAACACTTCTGCAAGGGCCTAAAAGGATCAGTAGCTCCTCCAGGAATGATATGCCCCCTTCATCCATTGTGTTTCTTTCACTGTGAGACCTGAAATACCTTCCCCTCATGGTCCCTCTTTCCAGTGTTGTAGGTACACTAGTGAATTGATTGTTTCATAGAGCGGTTCCAATAACAAGCCCTTTATGAATCATGAATATTGGACTTCCACCCACCAAGCTATCCTGACATGCATGAAAGGCTAATCCAAAGTATCCATTGTGAGTGAAGCATGTCATTTAAAATACTTAAAAACAACAGTGTGCATGCTTATAAATAGCTGCAAGACCATACCGTGATGGATCCAGGATGGTACTAAGTGTAGGGTTTGTCTGTTTGTCTTTAACTTAAACAGTAGATATATATGTATAGGGGTGGAGGAAGGGATGGACAAAAGTCTCAAGGTTTTTAGAATAGTTTCCAGATCAACAGGTCTTGCTCTTACAGTGAACATGAGAGTATTTCTTGTTATTCGAGGATGACTTGTACAATTATAGGCCTCTCATGCTAAGAGTGATAAAATCTAATTTCACGGTTTGAAAGTATTCTGCACACCCTGTAGGTTTAAATGCTGGGCTGCCTCAAGAGGAAAAAAGGTGAAGAATGGAATTCAGGGAGGAGGAGGTCAGCTTGGCAAAGGCCATGATGGAGCTGTGGCTTCCTTTGGAAGGGAATCAAAGAGTCTGTACTATTTGTGAGCTTGGGCAGGTCACCTAAATGTTCTTTTACCCCAGGCCTAATACTCTGTTAGAACTGCTCTGAATCAGCACCCTAAAAACCTCGAAGCATCCGTTTGCATCCTCCTTCTATCTCCTGTTTCCTGTGGGTGACTTCAGAAACTTCTCAGAAACCTCCAGTGATAAAATAAAATAAAATAAAATAAGATAAGATAAGATAAATAAAATAAAATAACGCTTTATTTCCCTTTGTATCACCAGGGTCTAGCACAGAACTGGGCATAGAGCAGGTGCTCAACAAATGAGTAAAGAAATGAATGATGTCCATTGAAATCATACTTCTTCTGTGAGGATCCCATGGTTTCCCTACACAGATCTAACCTTTCCCTCCCCCCCTGTTTTTTTTTTTTCCTGTGTCTTGTCCTTTTATGGTAGTGCTTACTACTGCCCGGTTTATTCTGGGGTCACTTGTCTACATGTCTGTCTTCCCCACTGAACTGTGACCCTCAAAGGGCAGGAACTATATTTTATTCCTCGCTCTGTCCCTATTAATAAATTTAATACATTGTTTGGTATATAACAGGTGCTCAGGAAGCTTGGGCAGAACTGAAATTCACTGACCTCATCTCTAAAATGAGGAACAGGATGCTTTCAATGTGGTCTAGCTGTTGAGAAACTGAGTCCTGTGATGACTGGAAGAGTTGATGGTCTTCCTTGTCATTGTGTGCCCGTGCTGTCACACCAGGGAAGCTGAGTGACAGCAGCTCTTCTGTCCATCTGAGCTTGCAAAGGCATGACTTATCTTGTTTTTCCTCTCACCCATTTCACCTCTAGACACGTACAAGCTGACCTCTGAACTGCTTGGAGAGGGAGCCTATGCCAAAGTTCAAGGTGCTGTGAGCCTACAGAATGGCAAAGAGTATGCTGTCAAAGTGAGTGTCTCATCTGGGTGCCAGACTTTAGCTGGTCCGAAGCCAAATAAATTTTATATTCTGCAGTATGGCAGCTCAGTAATAATGGGAACTCCAAAAATGTTCTCACTGGATTCAACTCTTGTTTTCTGTACTTACTTGCCGTGTTAATTAACACTTTTTTTTTAAGATTTTTATTTATTTTTGAGAGAGAGAAAGTGAGAGAGCACAAGCAGAGAGGGAGGGAGGGGGTGAGGGAGAAGTAGGCTCCCCTGCTGAGCAGGGAGCCCTGACTCAGAGCTCCATCCCAGGATCCTGGGATCATGACCTGAGCCGAAGGCAAAAGTTCAAGCAACTGAGCCACCCACCCAGGCTCCCCATTACTTAACACTTCTATCCTTCAGTTTCCTTCTCTGTAAAATGGATATAATCATAGGGACTGTAAAGTCTTGATGTGGGGATAGAGTATGTGTACAGTACTTAGAACAATGCCTCACTGATAGTAAGCTACCTCTTATTATTCTGAAAAATGGAGTAAACTTCAGAGAATAGACAACCAAATATCAAATTAGAAGGCCTACCTGAATCTCTGTTTTACCAAACTGCTACTTGACTTTGGACAAGTCTCTGAAATTCCTTCAGCCTCAGTTCTCACATCTCTAAAATGAGGGTAAGAGTACCTGGCCTTCCTGTCTCAACAGAGTGGCTATGAAGGTGAAAATAAAAATGAACACTGGTAGAATTAGAAACACTACCAAACACACAGTGCTATAAAGTGATGTACAGTATCATCAGAAAGAGGACTGAGCACTCAGCTTTGGGGCAGGAGAGGTGGCTCCTTGCTGCATGGCCTTGGGGTGTCTCACTCTACCCCTCTGTGCTTCCATCTGCTGGCTCCACATGGAAAAAGGGATAGATCTGGAGCACTGGTTTTTTTTTTTTTTTTAATTTTTATTTATTTATGATAGTCACAGAGAGAGAGAGAGAGAGAGGCAGAGACACAGGCAGAGGGAGAAACAGGCTCCATGCACCGGGAGCCCGATGTGGGATTCGATCCTGGGTCTCCAGGATCGCGCCGTGGGCCAAAGGCAGGCGCCAAACCGCTGCGCCACCCAGGGATCCCTGGAGCACTGGTTTTCAAAGTGCGGCAGCATCAGCGCTGCCTGGAAACTTGTCAGAAATACAAATTATCTGGCCCCATCCCAGACCTGCTGAGTCAAAAGCTAGGGGTAGGCCCAGCAATATGATTTTAGCCAGATCTCCAAGTGGTTCTGACACTGAGGTTGGAGAAGCCCTGATTTAGGGCTGTTTTACATTTAGTGTGGATCAGAATCATTTGGAGAACTAATAGCACAGAGACCCAGTTTTCTTGGTAGAGGATAGGGCCTGGGTCTTTGTAGGTTCACCAAGTTCCCCAGGTGATTCTTAGACCCACCAAAGTTTGGGAACCACTGATCTAGAAACCAGGTCTCATTAAATCCAAGGGGACAATTCAGATGTATTTCACATCATCCACGTGCACCCCCAGGTCTAAACCCTGCCTCATACAGGCAAACCCAGCCAAAATGCCTCCTGAAAGAAGTGTTTCTTCTCTTAACCAACTGGCCATAGTTCCAGCCGTGGATTAATAAAGGAGAACACTTCTGCCAAGCCACATTCCTTTTTGCTGGAGTGTGGCTTCATATGGTAACAAAAGCACTTACCTCAATTCCTTTTTGGAAACATCAGTATAAATTACAAATAATTTTTTAAAGAATATATTAAGTGTGGTAATAAACCATAAATATAAGTTGATTTTCAAAAGTTTGGGACATTTATGCATCCATCCAGACCTGTTTCTTCAAGATTGGATCATAAAAGGAAAATCTGGCCCTCTGTGCCCCTGGGCATCTTTGGTGCAAACATTGAACCCTGGCTTGGTCATTCTTTGGTTTGAGCAGTTCAGCACACGTCTCTTATCTCTCCTGTCCTTTGGAAACTCCCTAGAGATGGGCTACTTCTCCCAGCATGGCCCCACAACATTTAATTTTATTAGGGCTTCCCTGTAGCCATCCAAATGATGAATCCTAGAGTCTCAGGGTTGAAATGAAATTTCAGGATAATCTGGTCCTGAATTTCTTCCATAACTCCTCAAATAGTTGTCCATGTTCTGCTCCATGACCTCTGATAGCAGGAGCCCATTACTTCTGCAGAGAAAATAATGCCATTGCTGAATAGCTTGCCTGCTCGAAGGTTCTTCCTGACTTTAATCTGAAATGCTAGGTAAATGAACGAGTAAAATAGCTTCTGTGCCCCAGCATTGCACCTCTCTGACTGCCTAGAACATGGGCCCATGATGGTTTACTACCAGACATGGACTGTATAGACAGTTACACCTGGTCATGGGTGTTTGTGCTGCAACACACTGGAGAGGTTTGAAGTATTCTACGCAGCGGTCTGGAAACAAAGGAGCAGGGTGTTACCATCTGTGCTGCCCACTCCATACGTAGGACCTTAAGGCAGAACCAGCTCTGCTGAAGACATGCCCCCCAGGCTCTACTTGCAATGGTTTGGGGCTCTCGGTGGGTCTATGGAGATGTTCAGAGTTAGCCAGTCCCTGTTTTAACCACCTGTTCATCTCTTGGCTCACCCAGGCCTTCAGTTCATACTTGCCAAGCATCTCTAGGTATAGGTGGGAGAGACAATGCCTCTAGGTTCTGTGAGAGAAGCTGGATGGCACATAGACAGGGACAGGATAGCAAGGCAGCTCTGGGGTTGAATGCCAACCCTGTCACCACTTATCAGAGCTGCGGGCAAAATGTTTGACCTCTTCCTGTCTTTTGGGATTGTTATAAGAAATAACTGAAACTGTACCTGAGTTGCTTAATGCACTGCCTGCAAAGGCTAAGTTCCCTGCAAAACTGCAGAGATGGGGTCTGAGCTGGACCTTAGAGCTTTAGTTCCTCTCCACTGTGTCCTCCATCCCCCTTGCTCTTCTTCCAACCCTGGAAGATCCTTCAGTGGAGGTTGTAAACCTTGCCCTTAAGACAGGAAGAGATGCCCTAGAGGTAGGAGCTGGGTAGAGGTAGCTTTTTATCTTCTTGTTGGCTGCCTCAGTGTCCCCTGGTCAGCTGGGGACAACAACCCCATTAGTTTCCACAGTGTTTGCTTGTCAGAGTCAAAATAGGCCCGGCCAGCCTGGAAAGCCTTTGGGCTGGTCTCTTGTGTTGCTGGCAGGGTCACAGTGCCTGTGTCACCAAGGCCTACTCCGTGTGGGCTGAATTGGGCCTTGGATTCTCCCAGAGGGCTCCTGCTGAGAGGTGTTTCAAGGTCAGATGGGTATGACAGGCTTTATTCTTCCCACAGATCATCGAAAAACAAGCAGGGCACAGTCGGAGTAGGGTATTTCGAGAAGTGGAGACGCTCTATCAGTGTCAAGGAAACAAGTGAGTACAGTCTTGGGTTACTTGCTGCTTCTCTTGTGGGGATGCTTAGCTGCAGAAAGGTCATTTCTCATCACCTCCTGACCCCAGCATTTAGCTGTCATGCCTTGGCCACAACTGTGGAGGATTTTTTCTATTTTCCGTGTTTAAAGAGAGAGAATGGAGAGAGGAGACGAGGCAGCAGCCTTTGCTTCTGTTCAGGCTGAAGTACTGAAGTACCCAGGCAAGTCGGAAGAGTGAGCAATCCGAATGAAGGGCCCGGAGAAGATGGGGTCCCTTCCTTCAAGTGCCTATGGGAATGAGGTTGACGGAGTGTCGCCTGGTACACGCGGGCCCAGCTTTTGGGACTAGATGAGGACAGGAGAGCTAGTACGAATCCTTACTGTGTCCCACACCCAACATAGTGTACGTGCAGCTGCCACTCAGGCTCCAGGAGCCCACTCTAGCACTCTGCTGGCCAGCTGGGCCCAGGTGGTTTCCAGCCCCGCCTCAGCCAGCTCACCACTAGCTCCAAATGAGTGGTTCTCCCACGGTGGCTTTAAATCAGGGTCACCTCTAAGACTCTGCTTCCCCCCCCCTTCTCCTTGCACAGCAGGGTCAGCGGGGAGCCAGCGGCCAGGTATTGATGGCTTTGTCATTAAGCTTGGAGGATGGGGGCTGCTGTTGATTTAACTCCAGGCGCTGCTTCTACAATCTTCTTTCAAATCAGGCCATTTTAGTCATCTTATTTGGACGCCTTCACACTAGTAAAAGCCCGGTGTCTCCCAAAGTGGTCAGCATTTTTTTACGAGGGACAGATTTTTATTTTCAGCCCTGCAGCTTCTGAGTTCAGCATTAGAGCCTCTACTTGGTTTATTTCGTTCTTTAAAAGAAAAAAAGCCCCCAACACGTCCGATATCCAGGCCGGTAGCTTCCCTCCTGAGTTACAAGACGACCTTGTTGGCAGAGCTCCGTAATGCTCAGGCAGACAGGGAGTGCTCACCGGGGAAGGCCACAAGTGCTACGGCGGCCGGGAACGTGGCCGTTTCATTAAGCAGCGCTTAGCAGTTAGGGTCTAGCGGTGCCCACGTTAGGCCCCAAGTCTATTTGACAGATGTTTCCATTTTCTCCAGGCAATGTAAATACTGCCCCGTGATTTATGGGCAAGAGGGAGGGCAAGTAATTATTTGCTGCTTGCCTCCAGGACACACACCTACTATTCAGTGTTATTAGCCGCAATTGCTTCCAGTCGGCTGCAGATTTTATTCAGTTTAATGTGACCGGGACTTTTTTATAACTCTACCTAGTGGGTTTTAGGGTTGGGGTTTGACAGCACAGACTTGGTGAAAACACCAGAGACTGAACATTATGGAAAGATAAGGTGACCTGAGTCTTGCTAACACCATTGGCTACTTCTCAAACATGGTTCTTTAATAAGCATTCTGATTTCAGGTTGATTTCTGCCCTGCTACGGGGCATTGTATATTTTTTTTCATTGTATATTTGTAAGTGGGCTTTAATATATAATACCATTTCCCTTTTTTTTCCCTATTTTTTCCTATTTAAGGAACATTTTGGAGCTGATTGAGTTCTTTGAAGATGACACAAGGTTTTACTTGGTCTTTGAGAAATTGCAAGGAGGTACTTACTGTTGAGTATGTGTTTGGATTTCTGATTAAGACCCAGGCTGGTGATCATCCATCATGAATCCCAGAGACTTCTAAAATGAGTCAAGCTAATAAAAAGGATGAAGGACTTAAAACTGCCCTTGATTTGGGAGAAGGGAGGCCGGAGGGAAGGATAATAATTAGCATTTTGCAGAGCCTAGAATGTCACCTGTGTGGACATTCTACAGATGCCTTCTCATTATAATAGGACTCATATATAGGTACCTTTAGTCATCAATTTATCAATCTATTGTTTTGACCTGTTCACCATTAAGTTAATTATAGGGTGGAAACTCTTACATACATTGTGAAGTCCAGGAAGGTTCACCAGGGAGAGGAGGGTCCCATGGCTTAGGACATAGATCCAGGATAGAGAGGAGGCCTGAGAATCTGTATCCTTCAGATGGAAAGATGCCACTCTTGACTGTCACCACCAGTGCTATCACCCACACACATAATCACTGGAATGTGTATTAAACTTGCTTGCTTTTCTGACATAAAGAAGAGGATAGAGCAGCCCTTGCCCTCACCATTACTCACCCAGCCTAAGGATAGATTTGCAGGGTGCAGTTTAGGGAGGATATCTGGAGCTGAGTGGAGAGCCACATGGCAGGGTTTTGGTGGCTAAAGGAGCATGCTTTAGAAGCCAACAAAGCTGGATCTAAGTGTAGCTCCATCACTTACTAGCTGTGTTACCTTGGGCAAGTCATATAACCTTTCTAAACAGTGTTCTCATCTATAAAATAGGGATAATGACAGCACCTTTCGATAGCCCTGAAGATTAAATGAGATCTTTCATGTGAAATGCTTGGCATAATGCCCTATAGACAGTAAGGGTCCAATAAATGTCACCTATTAATATTATTAAAACAACTGGGTATGCCAAAGGCTATCTTAGAAGTCAGTAGTATATTACTCTCCATTTACCCATTTAACAAATTTGGAAACAAGAGTCTCACTACAGTAGGGCAAACCTGAGACCTAGCCAGGAGCCAGTTATCTGGGAATGTTCCCTAGCATGCTGGGATCCTTTCATTGTTTGATCTGGCAAGTAAGAGATGTTTCATCCCCTCCCCATGCCGAAAACCAGCAATAAGTAAACCTATGCCATTTTTTAAATGATTTATTATTAGAGAGAGAGAGAACAAGGGGCTTATGGAGAGGGAGAGAATCTCAAGCAATCTCACAACCCTAAGATCATGACCTGAGCCGAAATCAAAGAGTCGGACACTCAGCTAACTGAGCCACCCAGGCACCTCTGTGCCATTTCTAACATGCAGTGCTGGCCCCTCCAGCCCAGAAATACTAGCTTCCAGTAGTGAGCACAGACTGCATGGAACCAGGCCATGTGCTCATGCCTGTGCCATATGTTCACACCCCTGCCCTGCCCAGCAACACCAAGATGTTACATTTAAAATGCTGGGAGATGGGGCAGCTGGGTGGCTCAGTGATTGAGTGTCTGTCTTCAGCTCAGGTCATGATCCCAGGGTCCTGGGGTTGAGTTCCACATCAGGCTTCCCACAGGGAGCCTGCTTATCCCTCTGCCTATGTCTCTGCCTCTCTCTGTGTGCCTCTCCTGAGTAGATAAATAAAATCTTTAATAAATAAAATAAAATGCTAGGAGTTATCTGTAAATGTATTGCTTGGAGTGCAGCCCTACTGAGGCCAGACCCACTGCAGTAGGTAAAGAGATTACAGTTGGCTCAGGGCAGCCCATGCCCCAGCAGTTAGACCACATATCCATTTGAGGGACAGTCTAGTCTGGACAGGTGTTACAGCCACATTTACTGGACTTAAGTCCTGATGCTTCCACATACTGGTATTTCATCTTGAGCAAGTTGCTTAGCCATTCTTGGCTTCAGGTTCCCCATCTATAAAAGGGGATAGCCATATTTTGTACATTTTGTACAGTTGTGGTGAGGCTAAGGTAATCAATCTATCTGAAGACTTATTACATAGTGCTTGGCACACAGTAACTATCCACTAAATGTTAACCATTGCCAACAAAATAATAATAATAATATAATAATAATAAGAAGAAGAAGAGAAGAAGAAGAAGTTCAGAAGGAAAGCACTTTTCCCCCTTTTACTAGACTTTCTAGACCTTTACATAACTGACAAGGTTGGGGCATTTCTGTTTGAAGGCTTGTGCTCTTGTTTGAATCTGATATCAAATGCAGAGGGGGAAAAGTTCTTATGGAGAGGTCCCCCAACCTTATGTGAATTCACTTTTAGTTCTTTCTTATTTCAGAAGCCAAATCTGCCCCAATGGCATTAATATTTTTGGTCATGCAAATAGTTGTTGTCTCTCCCTTCTGTGCTCATCATAGGCAGGTATAGAAGATGGCAACCCAATTCTCTTCAGTCCATTTTTGTGCTGGTATCTCCTTCTCTGTGCCAGGTACCACACTTGGTGCTGGACATTTAGTGATGAATAAGGCTGTATCCTCACCCCAAAATTGTGGCAACTTGACCTCTGAGAAGTTATACTCCTAAGGCCCGAAAAGGCATACTTCTGTGTCTTATCTGTTACCCAGGCTCCATCCTGGCCCACATCCAGAAGCAGAAACACTTCAATGAGCGAGAAGCCAGCCGAGTGGTACGGGACGTGGCCGCTGCCCTTGACTTCCTGCACACCAAAGGTGAACCAAGTCTTTGCCTCGGTGATTGGGTTGGACCAGCCAGTCTCTGGGGACTGAGGGAGAGGTGCAGGCCAGGCAGAGAACTAGGCCAGGAGCTGGTACAGCTGGCACCCCCACCCATGAGGGTGAGGGAGCAAGCCAGGATGGCACTAGACTTTCCATGTGGATGGTGGGCAGATGTGGCACTATTAAGTGTAGGGACACAGGAGAAAGAACAGGGAGGAAAAAGGTAAACTTAACATTGAATAAGATGTATGAGTGTATGGGTATGGAGGATCTCCTTTTTCTGTGACAGAAGGATACAACCACATCATAATACTATTCTAGTGTAAATATTTGGGTGTTACTATTTCTAGTTTTTTTGTTTTGTTTTTGTTTTTTTAAACTCAGGACCCTGTGATCAAGACCTGAGCTGATATCAAGAGTCAGATACTTAACCAACTGAGCCACCTGGGCTCCCCCTTTCTAGCCTTTTGAAATATGTCCTCTGTATCTCTCTTTTCAAACTCGGCATGGTAGTTTATAACTAGTTTTATGTCTTGTTCACGATAAATGGAAAATGCATTTTTCTCTTAAGATGGTTAAGTTTGAGATATCTGTTGAACATTATGATGATAAATTGCAGGTTGCTGTTGTTCAAACTACACTTCAGTTTATAGTCCCTTATCTAGAACTGATTATTTAAGAACTCTTATAGTGAATTAAATCTTTTTACAAATTACGTATTTTTGTATTTCCATAAATGTGTTTGACTATTACATTTTTAAAACATGCCTAACAGCAGTGCCATGGAAAAACGAATTCTGGCATTACCTTTTTACGAGCTATATGCTCTCTCAGTAATAATGTCTACCTGCAGAGTCATGGTGAGAAGAGAGAGAATTATATCCTCAGCAGTAGTCACCACTGCTATAGTTAGTGTTAAGCTAACTGTTCTCACTCGCTTATGGAACCTGTGCACAGCCTATGTATGAATTGTGTACCTATAACATAATTGGGGCCTAGTGCTTGGCACATAGTAGTTTTTCAATATAATAGTTATTTTTTAAGATTATTTATTTATTTATTAGAGACACAGAGAGAGAGAGAGAGAGAGAGAGAGAGATAGGCTCTATGCATGGAGCCTGACGTAGGACTCGATCCCAGATCACCAGGATCACGCGCTGGGCGGAAGGTGGCGCTAAACCACTGGGCCACCAGGGCTGCCCCATAGTAGTTCTTCAATATTGTTCTTTCCTCCATCCTAATCCCCCCCACTTGACAGAAAGCATTTTGATTCCTAATATTAATTACCTTAAAATAAAGTATTCTGGGGCACCTAGGTGGCTTAGTTGGTTAAGCGTCTGCTTTTGGCTCAGGTCATGATCCCAGGGCCTGGGAATGGAGCCCCATATCAGGCTCCCGGCTCAGTGGGGAGCCTGCTACTCCCTCTGCTCTTCCACCCACTTGTGCTTGCTCTCGCTCTCTTTCAAATAAATAAAGTCTTGGGCAGCCCGGGTGGCTCAGTGGTTTGGCGCCTGCCTTCGGCCGAGGGTGTGATCCTGGAAACCGAGGATCGAGTCCCACATCGGGCTCCCTGCGTGGAGCCTGCTTCTCCCTCTGCCTGTGTCTGTGCCTCTCTCTCTCTCTCTGTGTCTCTCTCATGAGTAAATAAAGAAAATCTTTAAAAAATAAAAAAAATAAAGTCTTTTTATTTATTTTTTTTAAATTTATTTATTTATGATAGTCACAGAGAGAGAGAGAGAGAGAGAGGCAGAGACACAGGCAGAGGGAGAAGCAGGCTCCATGCACCAGGAGCCCGATATGGGATTCGATCCCGGGTCTCCAGGATCGCGCCCTGAGCCAAAGGCAGGCGCCAAACCGCTGCGCCACCCAGGGATCCCAAAAAAATAAAGTCTTTTAAATAAATAAGTAAATAGAGCATTCTGTCTGGATGAGGGGTCGGGGTGGATTGAATAATTGGTGACTTAGCTCTGCTCCCTTCACTGTGGTGGATATTGGCTGGCCACATAGGTTGTGAGTGCCTAAGAACACTTGTAGGCATGCTGGGCATATGTCCTACCTTGTGCCAGCAGTGTAATGCAGACTGGGGAGGAGGGCACGTGTGCAGGGAGTTAAGCCTCACTGGTCTTACCTCATTTCTTCCTGCGGCTGAAGGGAGGTCTCCACACTGACAGTGCCCATTTTTGGCGCCTGACCTGCACATGCGATGAAAGTTCTTAAAACGGGTATCTGTACTTGGCCCAGCATGATGAATAGCACTGGTTCTGTTTCTGAAAGCCAGGATGCATGTAGGTAACACCTGCTTGACAAAGATTTACAACTGTTCCCCAAGCTGCCTCTGCAAATTGCAAAACTGGGTCACGCTTTTTGTAAGACCTATACCTTAGAGGCGGGGCAGAGGCAGTTTTATTTTTTATATATTATATATTTATTTATTTTTAGAAGAAGGCACTAAAGGGAACAGAGCTGGTGTGTGTTAGGAGTTCTGAAGTGCTTGCTAACATCTAGCCAGCCAGTTGCCCAGGTGACTTGAAGTCGGGATGAAAAACAATTTCTGGCTGAACTTGGCTGTTTTCTAAATAACTTCACACTGGGAAGATGAATTAGGCAGGAATGGGTCAGCCCGGAAACAAGTTCCACACTTTTAAATACTGGGCACGCTGCAGCTTAACCTCTGGGAAATGAAGCAGAGCAGCTCGATGGCTGGTGTGCTCACAGAGGCAGGCCCATTATTCCAGCATGGCGCTCAGTTCTCAGGCTGGGGGACGACTGGGCCATAGGCACCTATTTGGAGAGCAAGTCTCCATGTGTGGCTTGTGATCCTTCTGTGGGAGCACTTGGTGTAATGGAAAATATCTTTCACTTTTAGTGCAGCTAGCTGTAGCCCGACTCAATTTGTACAGCCTGGACTGAGTTGCTCTGGGTTCTCATTCAATTAGGTGACTGATGAAGTTACTTAGCCTACTGGAGCTCAAGTTTTCCCTCCCTGGTGATGTACCTCAGGTGGGCTGGGCCTCTGCCTCCTACCAGGGAATTGGAGGGCTGCCTGAGAAGTTGGTCATCAAGGGAGTTTTGGAAAAGCAGATTCTGCTTTTCCCTATGACTCCATGAATCCTCTGAGCATTAGCTGTTTGGCTCTTGCTCCACTTTCCAGCCCTTCTGTCTATACATCGTACATCCCGCAGGAGGTAGGACGGTTGGAGTTTCTGTGTCCACCGTGGCCCTATGAGTTGGTTTTCTGTCCCTGTGTTCAGAAGGTGGTCCTCCCCCCTCCCCACTGCTGCCTCGGTGCCTTGTTGGCAAGGTCAGCCAGGTCAGCAGCTTTTAACCACTCATGGAGTAAGCTGCTATCTATCTGCTGGCTCCTTCAGGAGATCTAGTCAAAATGCAGGGAAGGTGCCTCTTAAGAACAGCCCCCTTGAATCAAAGCAGTGTTTGTTGTGCTTCCGCCAGGACTGTCTTGGACATGCAGAACAGGTGAGAAGGGGATCAGGCAAGCTTTGGAAGATTTGTTAGCTAACCCTTGGTCCTCTGAACATTCAGGGAGTCCCACCTACGGAATCTTTTTTTTATAAGTTGGCCACACAAGAAGAAATGAGATAGAGCAGCTTCAGCCCCCTGAGATGCTCTTAAACAAGGCACTAATTATTTCTGCATTGCTATTCCAAGCCTGGCCATTTGCAGGACTCTGCTTCATTTGCAGGACTCTGCTTCATTTTAGGCTTCTTATTCTTGGTTGTCACTGCAGTACTGAGAGGTAGGCTGGCTGGGATTCATTTAGCCCCCTTCTTATCCCTGCCAGACTTCTAAAGCTTCGGGTTCAAAAGAACTTGCAGAATCAACTGTGCTTTTGGTTTGTCTCTGGTTACTTCTGCCTCCTGCAGCTCGTTGATTTTTTAATGTACCATAATTGGGAATTAATCTACGAACAACAGCATTTGGAAAAAATTAATTGTGTGTGGAATGTTTGATAATTATGTGCATATGTTAACCATTTCTTTGCTCTTCGTCATTTCAGGCATCGCTCACCGCGATCTGAAGCCAGAAAATATATTGTGTGAGTCTCCAGAAAAGGTATATAGGGCTGACTTGGGGAAGGGGCAGTGTCAAAGTTTACATGATGTGGGGAAACCACCTCCACTCTCAGGTCGTTAGCAGTTTCTCGGCCACAGATACCAACCTGCACTGATTATTACGGACACGTGAGAATGTTAGACCAAATGTGTAGTGTTTCTGCATTCCTTTTTTTTTTTTTTTTAAGATTTTATTTACTAGAGAGAGAGAGCAAGAGAAAGAGAGCATGAGCGGCGTGAGGGATGGAGGGAGAAGCAAACTTCCCACTGAGCAGGCAGCCTGATGGGGAGCTGAATCCCAGGATTCCCTGGGACTCCAGGATAATGACCTGGGCTGAAGGCAGACACTTAACCGACTGAGCCACTCAGACGCCCCATGTTTCTGCATTCCAAATCGGGTTAATCCCTGTCTCATCTTTGCTCTTTATCAATAGTGTGATTGGCTTAAGCCTGAGAATTTGTAGAATACATAAGACCTGCACAAAATGTTTTCTAGACTAGTGCACCTGTCTTTAGAGCGGTGGGTGTGAGTCATAAACAACAACTGAATCTTCTGTGAAGCAAATCTTTGCCTAAAAAGGATGTTTATGCTTTGGTATATATGCCAGCTAGTGCCCACCACTTAAAGTAATAATTAGGAAGCAAGCTCCTGAAAAGGGTTTCTGCTTGCATTTGTATTCCCAAAAGTGCCCATTAAAAAGCAAGCATGTATATGTAGTATTGAACAGATGCAACCTATTTTAGACTTGTACTAGCAAATGGAAGCATTTGCACTGCTATAAGTGTGTCAGGATCTGACAAATTCTGTGTTTCTGTGAAGGGATTGAGGCCCTGGTGGTTCTGCTGGCACATATTCATGGCTCTGTGTGTATGTATATGGGTGCGTATGTATGAACACATATTGTCGGGCTGAATTAAGGGATAGCCCATAAATAGGAACAGCTGCGAGTGAATGTGTTGAGTGTAAGCTGCTGCTTATAACTCTTTTGTGGGGAGTAGTAATACATTAGCTCAAATAAGGTCTTGTGACTTCCTGTCAGTGGGTCTGGCATAAGACTTTATAATTTGTAACTGTTATTATTATTGTTAATAATCATAGTTAATAGTTCTTGAGTGCTTACATTGTGCCAGGCACTTATATTTTATTAACTATTTATAAAATCTTATGAGGTCAGTACTATTATTATCCTCACTGTATAGATGATGAAACTGAAGTGCAGGTAGATTAAGAAGCCTGCCCAATGTCACCCAGCTGATAAGTAGTAGAGTATAGATTAAAACGAAGATAGTATGACCCCAGAACTCCAAAGGCGCTCTGAACTATTCTGTTGCCTCTGGGTACAACATGCTTTCATGGCTTTTGTCCTCTCATTTGATCTTAGTGGCTCAGGATTGTTGCTCCTTTTCTGTGATTGAAAAACTAAAACTAAGAGCGACTGAGCATCAAAAGGCATTATCCAGAAAATGAAAAGATAAGCCACAGAATGGGAGAAAATATTTGCAAAGCATGTATCTGATAAGGATTTAATATCCAAACTATAAAGAAATTCTAAAGCCCAACATTGAAAAGACAACCCAATTTTAAAAATGGGCAAAGGTCTTGAATAAATATTTCTCCCCAAAAAGTATACAGAGGGCCAGTTATATGAAAAGATGCTCAACATCCTTGGTCATTAGGGAGATATTGATCAAAACCACCATTAGGGGCACCTGGGTGGCTCAGCCAGTTAAACATCTGCCTTCTGCTCCCAGGGTTCTGGGATCATCTCCTTCCCCCATCCCCCAACACCTGGCTTCCTGCTCAGCGGGGAGCCTGTTTCTCCCTCTCCCTCTGCCCTTGTCCTGGCTGATGCTCTCTCTTACTCACTCTCAAATAAATAAAATCTTAAAAAAAAAAAAAAAGCCACCATTAGACACCACCTCACAGCTACTAGGATGGTTAGAATTTAAAAAAAAAAAAAAAAAAGGAAAAAACAGCGAAGAGCAAATGCTGATGAAGCTGTAGAGATATTGGAACCCTCATACACTGCCGGTAGGAACAGAAAATGGCGCGGCCACAGTGGAAAGCAGTGTGGCAGTTCCTCACCAAGCTTAACACAGGGTTGCCATACTGCTCAGCAGTTCCACACCTATGTATTTATCCAAAAGAATTGAACACAGAGGCTTGAACTTGAACATTAGTGTTCATTGGAGCATTAGCCACAACAGCCAAAAGCTGGAAACAACCCAAGTATCCATGAACAGGTAAATGGATAAACAAAATGTGGTCCCTCTGTACAATGGAATATTGTTCAGTTCCGATCCACACTACACTGTGGACAAACCTTGGAAACAGTATGCTAAGTGAATAAGCCAGACACAAAAAGACAGGTATCGTGTGATTCCACTTGCATGAAATACCTGAAATAGCCAAATTCATACAGATGGAAAGTAGATCGGATGTTACTGGAGAGAAGGGAGGAATGGGGAGTTTATAACTGATGGTTTTGTTTGGGATGATGGAAAAGTTTTAGAAACAACACTGGAGATGGTTGCAGAACAGTGTGGGTATAATTAGTGCTGCTGTATTATACATTTAAAAATGGGGGATCCCTGGGTGGCGCAGCGGTTTGGCGCCTGCCTTTGGCCCAGGGCGCGATCCTGGAGACCCGGGATCGAATCCCACGTCAGGCTCCCAGTGCATGGAGCCTGCTTCTCCCTCTGCCTGTGTCTCTGCCTCTCTCTCTCTCTCTCTCTGTGACTATCATAAATAAATAAAAAAAAATTTAAAAAAAAAAGAGGCTAAGTGGGGGAAAACGAGTCTTTTCACGAATACATACTTAGTTCTGTGATTCTGCAACCTACACCATCATCTGTCATCTGTGGGCAAGAGTTCCATAGGTTTGCTACTTGTTTTACTAAGTTCACAGTAGTCTGACACCACGTAGCACACCCACTTTCTCTTAGGAAGTGAGAAAAGAATATGGGGCAGAGGACACCTTACAATAAATCCTCAGGTGATTTCTAGTTAGCCCAAGGAGAGTAAACATGATGTGACAGATAAAGCAGGGCTTTGGCATGGCAGCCAGAGAGAGAAAGAGACAGACAGAGTGTGTTGTGTGCAAGAGTGAGAGTCAGTGAGTAAGAGGCCCCTACCCTCCACACGGGGGAAGGAGTGAGGGAGGGTGAGTGTCACAGTCACATTGGTCTCTTCATGCCCTTGGGTTTCTTATATTTGTAACCTTTGATTTTTCCTTCGTTTTCAGGTGTCTCCAGTGAAAATCTGTGACTTTGACTTGGGCAGTGGGGTGAAACTGAACAACTCCTGTACCCCCATAACCACACCGGAGCTGACCACTCCAGTATGTATGGCTGGGCACCCTGTACCACCTCCTTCAGGGCTCCTGTACATTTGAAGTACCCCCAGCCCAAAGGTGGAGTCCAGAACAGAGGGCTAAGGAGGGAAAACTGAGTGGTTCTACCTCACTACCAGCTGCCTGAGTTGTCCTTTGGCCACTGCTTTGTGAGCCACTCCTACCCCGTCAGTGCTCAGTTGCGAACAAAATTGACATGAGAGCTTTTAGTTTGGGGCAGGTCCTCTGCCAATGATGAGACAAATTGTATCTGTGGGAACAGACTGGGCCCTGACTCCTGTCCCAGGTAGAGACAGACACTATCCCACGCCAGCCCTTTGCACCTGAGCACATGATAGCTCTGAGTCCCACTGTCCCTGGCAGCATCTCAGCACACCCCCCTGTGATGGAGGATGGAAAGTGTGGTCTCTCTGTGGCCAGAACTGAGAGGTCCCAGCTCTCTCCATGTAGAATCACTTGGCTAAGTTACCTTGTTACTTCCTTCACTTCGCATTTCATGCCCAGATGTGCAGCTAGGAGCTGTTCTTCCTAAGACGTCTCTTGTACTATCTGATGTACTATAATTATTATGAATCTTTTGAGATTTTCATGCTTCATAAGTGAATTTTCCTAATAACCTTTTTTAAGACCTGCATTTCAATATGCTCATGTCTTATTAAAATTGACATTATTAGGGATCCCTGGATGGCGCAGCGGTTTAGCGCCTGCCTTTGGCCCAGGGCGCGATCCTGGAGACCTGGGATCGAATCCCATGTCGGGTTCCCGGTGCATGGAGCCTGCTTCTCCCTCTGCCTATGTCTCTGCCTCTCTCTCTCTCTCTCTGTGACTATCATAAATTAAGAAAAAAATTGACATTATTAGAAATGTTTCTGTATTAGCTTCTACACTGAGCTACCTTGTTCTCAAAGTCATTAACTCTAATTGCCAATAACATGGAAAATATCCTTTCTCTACTTCCTATCTTCCCATCTAATTAGTTGTGTGTGTTGAAGGCCAGGGAGATATCTCTTGGCAAGCCTGAAATAATGAAGAGGGGATCAAAAAGAATTTATTTTGTTTTTATCAGCATTTTTTATGCAAGGATGAAAGGAAAGAATCCCAAATTCTTATACTGGATTTACCACTGATGTGCTTGAACCATATCCTTACCCCAATCTAACCATTGTTTTCTCATCTATAAATGGGAGAAGCAAGGAGATTGGATTTGTTCTAAGAGTTCTCCCAGCTTTGATGGGATCTTAATCCTAAATTCTCATACCTCCTTGGTGTAAGCTGGAAGAGAAGCTTGGCAGGACTTAACTTTAAGAACTCCTTGTTTTATTGGGGGAACCTGGTGGTTCAGTCAGTTAAACATCCGACTCTTGATCTCCACTCAGATCTTGATCTCAGGGTCATGAATTCAAGCTCCATCCTGGGCATGGACCCTACTTAAAATTTAAAAACAACAGCAAAAGAACAAGAAAAACCTCCTTGCTTTATGGGATTGAGTGTCCACAGATGCCTTCCCAGAACCGTGCCCCTGGTATGTTGAAGTATCTGTATATTAAGTGTCTGCAGAGAGCTGAGGTAGAGATTCCTGCAGCTTCTTGACCAGGGGCCTCTGCCTATCAGAATAGGACCTGGAATGATAGGAAGGTGACCTGGAACTGGTCTTGTGGATCATGGGGAATGCTAGGACTCACTCCATTTACAAATGCTCAGTCGGCCCAGCTTTTCTAAGTGCCTTGGTGGTATCAGGCGAGCCCTGGCTGGCTGTCCTGACAACTCCCTGCTCTGCAGCCTAGCCTCCTGCTCAAGTTCCATTACCTTCTACTCTTCATCATCTCCTCTCCCTGTGACTAAACCTCTCCCTTCTCTGCTATTTCTCCTCCTCAATCTTGGCCTCCACAGTGTGGCTCTGCAGAGTACATGGCCCCGGAGGTGGTGGAGGTCTTCAGGGATGAAGCCACCTTTTACGACAAGCGCTGTGACCTGTGGAGCCTGGGCGTGGTCCTCTACATCATGCTGAGCGGCTACCCCCCCTTTGTAGGTCACTGTGGGACCGACTGTGGCTGGGACCGGGGAGAAGTCTGCAGGGTGTGCCAGGTGAGCACAGGACCCACTGCACCAGCCTTGCTGGGGGTGGTCAGTGTGGTTATGGGATGCCCAATGGGACTGGGCTAGCTAGAGGTGGTTTCTGCTCTGGAAGGAGGTCTCTAATGCCCTTTCCCCTTCTGCCCAAGGGCCAACAGTAGGGTGAGAGAGAGAGATAGTCAGACACTTAGCCCAGTTGGGCATTCAAGGGAGAGTTGCTAGAGGGTAACAGACCTGAGCTGAGTCTTCATGGGGGTATGAAACAGCTGCAAGCATGTGGGGAAAAAGAGTGTAAGTATAAGGTTGGTGCTGGGGGCAAACCTGATAGTTTGCCAGGGGCTCATTTGTGAGGGCCACATATGAAGGGCCAAGGAATTTCGGCTGTGTTCCTTAGTTGGCATACCCACCCAGCCCTCCAAGTGGCCTAGCCACCCCTGCCTGCGAGGGGCATTCTGTGTGTGGTCTGATGACAGCAGAAAGTAGGGATCAGGGGAGGGCCCTGGCCTCTGGCATCCTGAAGCCATGAGCTACAGCTTCAGCAGAGGCTGATGTGACCCAGGGTGACCAAATCAATGGCAGGCACATCCTGCTTGTTCCCTGGCAGGGTGGCCTCAAGAGGAATCTTCTTTACCTAGAACAAGCTATTTGAGAGCATCCAGGAAGGCAAGTATGAGTTTCCTGACAAGGACTGGGCACACATCTCCCCCGAAGCCAAAGACCTCATCTCCAAGCTCCTGGTTCGAGATGCCAAGCAGAGACTAAGTGCTGCCCAAGTCCTGCAGCATCCGTGGGTGCAGGGGGTGAGTAATCTGGGAGGGGCAGCATCCCATCTCCTCAGGTCTGTGGCCTGGCCATGAGGAAGCTTTTTTAGTAGTAGCAAGTGCTGGACGGCAGCCCAGTTGCTGACCTGAGCCAGAGGGAGACCATACGGCAGCTTCAATCCTTGTGCACGTAGAGTGAACTGGCCACTGATGTTGCCCCAGAAGAAGCCCCTTAACCGGTCATAGACTTGGCTCTAACCTTGGCCTAAGACTAGGCTCCTAACTGACCCTTGCCTCTCAGGAATGAACAGAGGCCTCTGGGGGATTTGGCACATGCATCCTGCCGTTCTTGGAGGCACACAGTCTGGGAAGCAGCCTGGTATTGGTGCTGGGGGCCTGTGGCACCCTCCCCTTATACAGATGTATCATCAGCTAAGAACGCCCAGAAGCAGGGCCTTGCTTCCCTGCTTACAGTGAGGATGCATTGGAGGCACGTAGATTCTCCTTGTGGTCCTTGGGTACAGCTTGCCTAAAAGGGAAATGGTGGTATTTCCCCCAAACGAAGGATCCAGTCTTTACCAGAAAACATTTTTAACCATCCTCCTCAGTGAGTCAGGTTCTGACTTCTGCCCCTCTGAAGGGTCAGCCAGGCCTCCGTGATTCACTGTGTCATTGGGCTGCCAGGCCCTGGCCAGCCTCACTGGCCCTTCCAGGAGAAGGAAGCAAGCTTTGCCAGCCCCATGTTATGGGGGGGACCCAACTTAAGAACCTCTGAGTGGCTAATTCCCAGCCACTCAAGAATTGCTGTCTTTACTGAGCACCTACCCCTTGCCCAACTCTGGCGAGACTGGGATGAGTAAGACCCAATCCCTGTCTTCTTGTCTTGGTGGGGAGAGGGAGACAAGGGAATAAATGATGGAACAGTGTAGCAAATGCTTATCGAAAGTGCCAGGGGCACAAAAGGATGAGGCTTCCCTGCTGCTTGGATGGAGGTTGGGAGGTGGCTGGAGTGGGAGAGTGAAGTGACCCTCGAGCTGGGTCTTGGAGGACAGAGGACTCTGCCAGGCAAAGGGATGCGTCTCCATGCAGAGTCAGCTGGGTTCAAGCTGTCCTCTCTTGCTCTGTCCTTGGAAGGTCTGATCCTGCAGGCACGCTTGGCCGAGTCTCTGTGCTGGGCCAGGAGCCTCTAGTAGCCTCTGCACTGGTGTGGGTTGGGCAGCTCTTGAAGGAGGGAGCAGTGCTTACCCCCACGTCTATCCTTCCCATTGCAGCAAGCTCCAGAAAGAGGACTCCCCACGCCACAAGTCCTCCAGAGGTAAATGCTCCAACCACACCTGATGCCCTTCTTTCTTTGGCTTTGACTTTCCCTCAAACTGTCAGCCACGTTGGGGTGGAGGTGGGACGGGGAGCCTAGCTCTAAGGCTCAGGTGTCGACCTCCTGAAGGGGCTTCCCCACCTGCCTTCTCTGCGTGTCTCCTCCTCGCTTTCCCCTCCTCTCTTCCACCACCTGACGGCCTCCCCTGCCCTCCAGCTCCTTCAAGCACCTCGGGTACTGTTTGCAGGAGAAAAAACTCTTTCCAAATCCACTGGCATCTAACTAAAAATCACCATTTATAGCCCAACAACCCTATCTGTAGGTGATTCACCCCAAGGTTTCCTCCTGCTGCTGCAGGTTGGTGAATGTAGCAGGAGAGGGCGCTGCGAGGCAGTTGGACCAGTTGTCACATCACCACTAGACTCCATAATAGTAATGGTCAACGCATGCCAGAAATGGTGATAAGGGCTCTAGAGAGATTCTTTTCATAATCTTTATGATAAATTTAAAAGAGAGGTGCCCCAGTTACTCCATTTTGTGGATGAGAAAACCAAGAATAGGGAGATTGAGGTAACTTGATACTCAGGGCCACACAGTTGCCTTGGGAGTTGGACTTTGAACCTAGATCTTTGACTCTAATGCCTTTTAACACAAGACCAGGTTTCTAGTGAACACTGCTCTGTTCCCAAGGCTACCACACCATGGGCACCCCTCCAGGAAGCAACCTCAGGACTGGTTGCTGGGAGTTGCACAGGGAAGTCTTGCATCCCTGTATTCTCCACTGATGTGAGCCAGAATGCTGCTGCCCGGTACATGGATGCACCTGTTACGTGCCAGGCCCTTCCTCTGGGGGAGCTGGGTGCAGAGCGTGGGAGCATGGAGGAGGGCGCTCTGAATGGAAGGGGGCATTTGTCCCAACTCCAAGTCCAAGGACTGTAGGTGAGGCTCAGAGCCATTCCAGCCTCAGTGAAATCAGATTTCAAACCCAGGCAAGAAGGACTTTGGTGGGGAAGCGGCCCAGAAAAAGCCTGGGGAGGGGGGATTCTGGGCGCTGGCGGGCCAGGGTGCCGAGCCCCACTCCCCTCTGCTCTGTACTGTCCTCCCCTGTAGAAATAGCAGCACAATGGACCTGACACTCTTCGCAGCTGAGGCCATCGCCCTTAACCGCCAGCTTTCTCAGCGTGAGGAAGACGAGCTGGCACAGTCATCCGAGTCCCTGGTCGGGGGCCTCTGCTCTGTGAGGCTTTCCCCTCCCTGCAAGTCACGCCTGGCCCGTCGAAGGGCCCTGGCCCAGGCAGGCCGCAGCAGCAACCCGGAACCGTGCCCAACTCCCACCGCACTCTGACCCACTCCTGGCCACGACTTCCAGGACCTCAGCCTGCCTAGGCCCCGCCAAAGTCCGCAGGGCAAGCAGTAGAAGCTGCTCCATGGCCCCATCCTGGAGAAGGCCCTGAGATTCCCACCCAACCCCCTATTTCCCCAGAGCCCTCCAGGAGAAAGCTGTATCCAAAGGGGTTGTCTTTGAAAAGGAAAGCAATCACTTGTCACTTTGCATAATCGCCTGCGGCAGGGACATCTCTCTGCTGGGCTCCTGCCCACCTGCTCACCCGCCTGCAGATCCGGGATCCAGCCTGCACTGCTGGGCGGCTGGCGCAGTGTTGGCTGGGGCTGCAGCCTTCAGGGAGCCAGCCTTGAGAAGCGGCAGCTGACAGAGGCTCTTTCCTCTCTGCACTGTCACACCCACACCCCCCCAACACTGGTCCTTCCTCTGTCCTCTGGATGTCCTCCCCTTGGCTAAGCAAAGCCATCCCCTCAATTCAGGAAAGGGCAGGGAGCCTTCCACGTTCAGGAGGCCAGATCAGTCTTCCAGTCTGTAGCGCGGGAGAAGCACATAATCTTTCTTTGCCGGGACCAAAACGTGTCCCTCATTTATCATCCTCTTCCTTGTTTGGGATTGCTGCTGAAGTCCGTATTATTTCATTTTTTTTAAGTGTTCTTTTTAACCATGCACTTTCAGCAAAAATGGAACTTTAAAACTCAACTGCAAGCCGGATTTTCCAGAGCATGTAATGGTTTGCTCTTCCTTGAATGTCCAAGCATGTGAAAGATTTTATTCAACTGTTTCTTATTATTCTAACCAGTTTTAAGCTGTTAAGATGACGAGTGACTTCGAGGCTGTGTCTGCTAAAGGGCAGCACCAGTCCCAGGCAGTTAGAAGGGACTCTGTGCCCCATGTGGCACCAGATCGCCGGCAGCCCTGGTTCCAGCAATGGGCTGGCTGCTGCCGGAGAGCATGAAGGCGCATCTGGCCTCGGAGAAGCCGAGCTGCTCAGCTGCCTAAAGAAAATGGGTTTGTACAGGTCAGACACACAACACCACAATGCTATTTATACAATGTGCTTGTTTTAATAAAACTGTTTTAAATTCTAGCTGTGGCCTTCTGGGTGGTCCTTTATTCACCTGTGAACCTGAGAGGGAGACAGGCCTTCTGGAGAGGGGCCGAGTCCAGCCCAGTGGGGAGAAGGTGCCCCTAGTTGGGACCTCTAAATCTAGCCTCTCATTGGATCCACAAAACAAGTGGAGGAGATGTCATTGCTCTTCTTTTAGGTGAGAAAATGACGTTCGTCAACACTTGTCAGAGAGGAGTAAGAAACAGCCCCTGTCCTGTAGCCTGTAGGGTCTCCCCATCAGGTGGAAGAGGTGGCATCAGCAACCATCACACAAACTGGCTCCAAAAAATGCCTTAATAGGTGTACCCTGTGCCCAGGCCAGCCCCGCACCCAGGTGGGAACAAAGGTCCCCTTTGTCTGGAGCAGCACCCAGCTTTTCCAGAGGATCTGTTGCTTGCCCAGGACTTGCCAGGGTTGGAACGAAGAAAAATGGTGCCTCACATCCTCAACTCTCATGTTCATCATGCCAAGGGCTCTCATGTGCTTTGTCCTGTGTCACCCTCAGAACCACACTGGAGAGGCCTGGGCTGGGGAGGGGCTTTATAAGGTCCCAAGGGGGCGGCAGGAGGGAGGTCTGAGGGGCTGGCAGCTTTTCTCCCCAGGGGCGAGGGGAGATGGGGTCACTCTAGGGGCTGTCCTGTGGCTTGGATGCCCCCATACTGACGCTGACATACTTGCTGTTGACAGTCTTCCCTTTGCAGCAACTGTTACCACCCTCACATCCCATCTACCAGGAGCAGGATGGGTGGGAAAAACAGGTCTGCAGACCTAAGCCTTTGGCCCAAAGTCTCCCAGTCCCTGGGGATTGGGAACCAGGGTATGAGTTTTATCTCGACTTCAGCCCCAACCATCAGTCCTTCGGGTTGGCAGGCTGAGAGGTGATTTCTGGGGGCTTTCTGGACTCAGTGCACCCCCCCATGCTGCTCTGGGTGCAGCTCCAGCCAGTTCTCAGGCTTCTCCACCCTCTACCAGGCTGCCTCCCCACCCTGGCCCACCTGGTGAGGGCCCTGGACCTCTTCCCAGCCCCGCCTGGGCGCCACAGTGCCTACTCTGGTTTTGTTAGTGTCGTTATGCGCTTACTAAGCAACAGCTGCTTGTGGAGAAATGTCCAGGCGTTATTTACTTTTCACAGAAGTCATGTGAGCTAAGGTACTATTATGTTACCCCACTTAGAAGAAGTAAGCAGAGAGAGCAGAGAAAAACCTAGATGTCCAGGTGGGAAGACAGAACTGGGATTCTTCCCGGAGAGACTTGGGACCCAGAGCTGTGCTGCCCGGGTTCAAATCCCAGCTGTGAGCCCTGGGCAAGTTACTCAAACTTTGAGGGCAACGGTTTCTTCAACCAAAAATTGGGGGTGTTAGTGGTTTCCTCATGGTGCTGCTGTGAAATGATGGATTAATAAGTGCAAAGTTGTGGGCAGGTCCAGGCACACAGAGCAAGTGCACGAGGCCGGCTGCGACTGTTCTGGTCATTACAATGCTGTCTCTGGAGGCACAGTTCCTCAGCTATGGTGCCGGTGATGGAGACAAGTTTTCCCCCTCTCCTTGGCTTCTGTGGGTGGAGATGGATCTGGGCTTTCCAAACGGGCCCGGCCTCTGGCCCCTCGTGGGGTTCTCCTGCAGACAAGTTGCTCTGCCCCTCTGGGCTGGGGTCCCCGTCCCCAAAGGGCAGCCGTAGTACCAGAGGCAGAGTCTGAGTTTGGGCAACAGGGGTCCTGGGTTCTAGTCCCGCCACTCTTCACTCCGTGACCTTGGAAAGTCCCTTGCCCTTTCTGAGGCCCAGGCCACGCGCCTGGCTCTTCTAGGCAGCAGTGGGCATGGCAGACACACTGAGTGGGGCTCTGGGGCCTGGAACTGTGGCAGCCAGTCTGATGACTCTAGGGCTCAGGCGTGGACCTGGCCTCGGGAGAAAGCTGGCCCCAGCGGCCGACATGTCCCAGACCTCAGGCCTCCTGTGCGACCCCTGTCTGGGGGCCTGGGTAGGGAGGCCAAGTCTTCCTCCCTCCAGATGTCCACCTGCCTGAGCTCCTGGGGGCCCCTGTCCCTCCGGGCTGAGTGCCTCTCACCAGACCCTGCTCCTGAACAGCAGTGCCCTGGGCCGTGCCAGCTGCTCCAGCTGCTTAGGTCTGGAGGGGAGCGAGGAGCCGGGTCCCCCCACTGCTGGCACTCTTGTTGCCATGGTAGCAGTTGCCTTGGAAGCCACTTCCCCGAGTTCAGCTTCTGAACAGTCCCCGTCCCCCAGGGGATCGGTGCATTAATCATGCTCTTTTCCAGGGTCCTCACCCCTCGAGGAAGATAAAAGGAACTAAGCCACGCTGAGGCCCCCGACTCTTCCTCCCCACCCTACGCCAGCCCAGGACCCAGCCAGCGCCTCTGGGGAGGGGAGAGCCTAGGCAGGCAATCCAGCTGCGGCCTCGACAGGGAAACAAAGAGAGATTTTTGTGACAGGTCTCGGCTGTGACCCATGGCCTGCCCACGCCCTGGGGTCCAGAGGCCCGGGGGGGGGGCCCAGGCTTCCGCGAGCAGGGCTCCGGGGCTTATGGGGAACAGGTGGGGCTTCCATCTCCATTACCTGGTACAGGAAGCACATCAGCCAAGGGCAAGCTTCTATTTTCTTTCTCGCAGAGGAACAGCCTGTGTTGAGGAGAGGGTCAGCAAGCCTCCCCCTCTACATCAACCGCTGGAGAGCAGGCCTCACAAAGATTTCCAGGAGCCTTTGGTGACACTCCCCCATCCCGAGGGAAAAGAGGGAGGCCTTGACTGAACACAAGGTCTCCCTCCGATGGCGGGTTGCCAGTTCCTCCACCTCAGATAAGGCAGGTTAGACATTCACGGACCCAGAAAGGCCAGAGCGCCGCCCGCCGACGGGAACCCGGGCACTGAGGTTCTGTCAAGGGCTCTGGGGCGATGCTCCCTGTCCCCGGTGTTTCCCCATCTGTCCTATAACGGCGCTTGGACGGGCATGCAGTTCTGCGGTCTTGCAGCTGATACCGGCTTACAGTGTCTCTCCTCCGGATTTCCTCCTCCGACTGTGGGCCCTGAGGGATTTACGATGTCAGAAAGAAAAAAGAAAAAAACAATAACCCTCTAATTTAGAATTTGGTCTCCTTTTTAGAGGTTAGAGTGTAATTCTGGAATCTGAAAACTCACCGTGCACAGGCGTCCCTGACTCCAGCCTCTGCCTTCTCCACCCCCCTTCAGCAGCCGGGCAAAGTGAGGTCCAGGAGGTGAGTGGCTGCCCAAGTCGCGCGGTGTGAGGTGCCCCGTCCTGCTGACCGCGGGAGCCGCCCTCGCCTTACTGCCCAGCCAGTGATGCAGACACCTCATGGGGGTGAGGGCATTGACATTCCCAAAGCTCAACATCTCAGGAACACATTTTCATAGACAATTATTTTGACAGCTCCTTCTAAAACTAGTCAGTGGGGGATCAATTATGTGTGACAGAGACATGGGTTGTCATTTGATGCCTAATTAGAGGAATAATCAGACCTCATCCTGGAGAGAGGCGCAGGGGACATTGGCAACAGCCGCTGTAGCTGGGGAATGCCCACTTCTGGGGCTTCGTCTTCCAGGGGCAGGGGCGGCGGGGGCGGGGGGTTAGGGGGATACAGCCTGGGGTCCCACTGGGGCTCTGCAGACACTCAGCAGAGGGCAGCAGCAGAGAAGCGGAGGAGTGAGGGGCAGGGGGCGGCTCGCTGGCAGGCGGAGGGCCTGGCTCTGTCAGGTGACAGACATCCAAACATCATAGGGGAGACAGAGGCACCCAAGCAGAGGCCAGTTGGGTGGTGATGGGACCCTGGGAATAGTGCCAGCGGGAATCCCCAGGACGGGATTCTGGAACCAGAATGGATCTGGGCCTCCCTGATCCGCAGAGGGCCAGAGAACGCAGCTGGCTGCAAGGACTGGGTCTGGGGGTGGCATAGGGCTGGGCTACTGCTGCCCAGCCTGGAATTGGTGGGTCCCACCAGTAGGACGGGAGTGCCAGCCAGGTCCTAGTCCTGACGCTGGCCACTGACACCCAGTCCCTGCCAATCCTTCTCCCCGTTGTTTTCCTGCAACCTCATGCCCCCGCTCCCTGTTCTTCCTTCTCAGCCCCCTGCCAGGGATCCCGGGAGGGCTCCCCTCTCAGCCTACGGCAACAAACAGGGGTGGATCCGGAGCCTGCCTGAGGAGAAGGAGGTCAGCCTCAAACCAGGACCCCCCAGAGGCTAGCGAGGGGGCAAGGGGAGAGCCCGAACTCACAGGAACATCTCTTTCTGTCCTCCTGTCCCTGTCGCTGTTCCATCTCTTGGCCTCCCCCAGGTCCCCTCCCATGCCTGCCTCTGAGTCCCTGAGCAGACGCCCCATGTGCCAAATGACAGAAGACAGCAGAGTGGGCCCTGAGCACTGGCAGGGAGTCTCCTCACATCCCTGGATGCTACACCCCGCAGGAAGCCCCCGGGCCATCCTGCCACCTTGGCCCTGCAGTGGACCCTAGGCTGAGTGCCCCAGCGGGCCCCTGGCACAGCAGCAGCTCACGTTGCAACCTCATGAATAACTCAGGACCTCCGCGCTGCCTGCGCCACCCAGGAACCCGTGCCCTCTGGGCCAACCTCCTCCACTGCTTTAAACTTTAATAGGCCAAGGCCCAGTGGCAGCTGAGCAGGCTCCAGGCAGCCAGGGCAGGATGTCCTGGGCAGGGGGGCTCAGGCTAAGCTCTCCTGAGAGGAAGCTAAGCGGGGCCAACCCTGTGGGGCAGGCCCGGCTCTCCAGAACTCGGACAGCCAAGGCAGGATGTGATCAGGCCAGAGTCCCAGGAGTGGCCCCCAGATTCAGGGGCCTTCAAAGGAGGAAGAGCAGGCTGCGGTGACCTGGCACAGATCCCAGGTCTAGGTGCCGCTGGGGCCCTCAGGAGCGCGGTGGGATAGGGTTACCAGCCCCAGAACTTCCTGGCCAGAAATTCCCACTCTGAAGGCAGAGCTCCAAAAAAGACACATCCAG